CCGGTGTCCCTGGTCCCACAGGCAGCAGCAGTGTCCCGGTGCCAGGCAGGGGCACACACAGGGGGCCACTGACACAGCCCCCGCCCCGGCACCCCATGCTTGGGGACAGACACGGCCACGGGGTCGGGGTGACAGTGACACCCCAATGGTACATGCAGGCAGGGCAGGCAGGGCCAGGGGGCAGGCAGGGGCTGGGACAAGGGACCAGGCAGGGTCAGAGGACCAGGCAGGGACAAGGGGACCGGGGGCCACACTGCAGGGGATGACCAGCTGGGGGGACTGGCAGTGCCCCGGGGGGGCACAGGTCTGGTCCTGGGGTGGTGACGGTGCACGGGGAGGACGTGGCCGGTGACAGCAGCAGAGGGGACGAGCCATGCGGTGGCTGCTTACTTAAATCCCCAGCCTGTCCCCCCAAGGACGATGGCAGCCACCAGCACGGCCCCCGCGATGGAGCCGATAATGATATTGGTGCCACTGGGACCTGTGACAGAGGGGACAGGGAGGAGGGGACAGGGTCACACGTCAGTGGGAAGGAGACACGGGGACATGGGGACACAGCCCCAGCGATGTCCCAGTGCCAGGGGGACTTGGGAAAGGGACAAGCCCAGCCACAGGGAACATGTCAGTAGGAAGGGGACATGAGGACACCAGGACACAGCCCCAGGGCAGTCCTAGTGCTGTGAGGACCTGGGAGGGGGACAAACCCAGCCATAGGGAGACACCTCAGTGGGGAGGGGACGCAGGGACACAGGGACACAGTCCCAGGGACACCCAGTGCTGTGGGGACCCGGGAGAGGGGGCAAACCCAGCCGAGCTGCGGCACCGGGGTGGGGGGACACTCTGGATCCCCGGTGTGGATGTGGACAAAGTGGGACCCCCCCAGTCTGCGGTGCCTGGGGCCAGCGGGTTGCAGGGAGCCCGTCCCCCCCCGCGGGCACACGGACCCTTGTATCGCTCCGTCTCCCCCGTCGGCTTCGGCTCCGGGATGGGGTCGTAGACGCTGCAGTCCTTCCCCGTCCACTCCGTCCGGCAGATGCACTTCCCCTCGTTACTGCAAACCTACGCAGGGACGGTGTCACCCCCGTGACCGTGACACCCCCCGGGTCCCCTCTGTCCCCGCCGTGCTCCTCACCCCGTGGTCGAAGCAGATCTTCCCGTCCCAGCTGCCGGGGCAGGAGCTGAAGTTAAAGGCGGTGGCTGGAAGGCATTTGCGGTCGAGACAGAGCATTCCGGG